TGATGACTAAGCATTCAAAAATATGAGCCTGTGGAACCATTCTTATTCAAACCACCACACACAGCAACAGAAAAGTAACTAACACATTGACTTTAAGCATTATTTCTTCTAACTCATGGCACCTGATACAGAAATTTCACATGTGTCTAAAAGTATTATTTTAAGTGGCCAACAAGATAGCTCAACAAGTTAAGATGCTTTCTGACCAGCCTGATGACATGAGTTTGACCAGCTAGGAGAGAACCAACTCACACAAGTTTCAAGAGCTGTAGCTTAATTCTGCTCCCTGAAATGGAGACTGGATTTCATGACTCACTTGTAATAGAAGAGACCAGAATGGCTCCTTGGAATGGCCAAAGCCAGAGGGAGGGGTGTTGACAAGGTGGTCTCCATACCAGTTTAGCAACCCCGGTAGTGTGGGAACTCAGCTCTAACTGTTCCTAAAACACTTTAAGTTCCCCAGATTGCCTCGGGGAAGAGAGTCCTGGGGTGGCCACAGCCAATGAGCAGAGCCTGGAAGGAGCCTGACTCCCAGAGCTCCAGAGACCCAAGTCTAAAGTCAGGGTGCATCCTTCAGAGGGGCTGAGGGAGGACCCTTCCCACCTCTCCTAGCAGCTCCACGTGTCCCTTGGCTGTGGCCACACCTAGCACCTTGCCTTTTCCTTCCATGCATCTCTGTTCTGCCTCTTACCGGGACCTCTCTCACTGACTTGGGGCCACCTATATGATCAAGGTGATCCTGTCTCTCCATCTTTAATGGAACAACATTCTCTAAGACCTGTCTCTCAGGAGGTGCACGCGTTAAATCTGGGGGAGCAGACCTGGGAATGCCTGTCCAGCAGCCCCAGTGATCAGGTATCTCTTTACTGAAACCCACAGCTGAGGGTCACTGGGGCCTCCCAGCCTGTTCCAGGAAAGGGTTCCAAAGCTATGCTGTCTTTGTCCCCCTACAGTCTCCATTCTTCACTGCCAGAAGCATCTTTGCTGGGGGTTCTTAGCATTCCCCCCTAAGCCTGGGACATATGAGAGTCTTATCCCAGGATCACAGGCTTGCAGAGGGCTCTTTGCTCTGGACTTGGCCTGGTCCCAGGGCCACCTAAAGAAAAGACCACGCTCAGCTTTATAAGGAAAGGCACAGCTCAGTTCCCAGCAGCCAGGGTTGGGAGACAATGGTAGGACCAGCAATATGACTGATTTTCCTTATTCTTTATCTTTTACTCTTTTTCATACTGACTTCTTAGGAGATGTCATAACTTTCCAGAGAAAAGTGTACAAGTCCAGCCCTTGGGTTTCCATATTGCTTCCACCATATGGATGGTGATCAATGAGAAAATGGTAACCCTAATGCCTACTCTGGGGTGCTGGCTTGCTGAACACATAACATAACCTGACAAAAAGACCTTGATGTGTTCAGTAGGTCACTACCACTTCTTGCACTTCTCTTTCCTCTTTGTCTCTACCTTGCCATATCCTAAGTCCCCCCTTCATACCCAATGCTCCCTTTCTGATCCTTGGTTGCCCTTCTGGCTCACAGGAATGGTTCTTTACTAGGAGACCATGGTCTGGCCACTTAATGCTAGAGAAATAAATGGATGGATGTATGCATGCATGTCTGCATGCAATGCTCCATGGTCTGATCCATGGGCGGTGCTTCACCAATGATGTGGGGTCACTGGGACTGGGGGGTACTCCCTATCTGCTTCAGGACTATGATATGGTGACCATTACAACCCGACTGCTTCAGAGCAGCCCAGTCAAAAAAACGGAAGTGTCCCCGGTGGGAAGGGAGCAAGATCAGAAGCCTGAGTGGGGCGGGAGCCTGCCGAGTCGCCCGCCCGCAGGGCCGCGCATGCTCAATGTCCCACCTTGCGCCCTGTTCCCACGCCGCCTTCGCCCCCGCCTCAGCCCCTCCTGCTTATTACTCCCCTCTCCTCAGCGCCTCAGCTCCTCAGCTCCTCAGCTCCTCAGTTCCTCCGCTCCTCCTCCGCTCCTCCTCCGCTCCTCCTCCGCTCCTCCGCATCAGTCTCGGACCTAGAAGACGGACCACCACACAGGACGAATCTCCTGAACAGAGGTGAGGTCAAAAACTGTCTGAGAGCTCTGAGCCTCTTTGGGAAGCCTCCCTGGAGAGCTTCTCGGAGGCAGCATCCTTGGCCTCGGCTTTCTGCCTGATGTAGGGGTGCAGAGAGGAGGCCAAAGCTGCCTAGACTGCAGGTACTCAGGCAGGCAGGAGAAGGGAGGCGCTCAGCGGTCTGGCCTATCTCAACAGGAGTGCGGAAGGAAGGGCACAGGTGGCTAGGGGATGGAAGGAGGAGTGGTAATGGCTATGTTTGGGGATTTTCTGGGAAATGGGCCTGCTGTGGAAGAGCTGGGCAGGGACCCTGGGGGATGCCCCTTTCTAGAGCCTGGGGAAGGAAGAAGAATCTGCCTGGGCTGGGCTCTGGGGAGCTGAAGCCTTGTTTTCATGTTTCTCTCCTGATTTTCAGACACTAATACTGGGGCTGGCACAGAGCACTGTACAGCTGATCTTCCCAGGTAATTTGGATTTTGCACCTGTAGGTGTGGGAACTCTAGATGTGGGAACTCTGGACAGACTCGAATTTTGAGGTAGTGTTACCCAGGGGCACCTGGCCAACAGCCCACAGGCACAAGCCCTGAGAGCCCCAGACTGAAACAGAACGTCAAAACCTCTGGCTCTCAGAAGTCAATGGCTGTGCCTTTTCACTTAGCTGACCACTGTCCATTGTGCTTCCAGAATTCCAGGGAAGAGCAATAAGCTTAGCCAAGCCAATGCCTAGGAAGGTAAGGTAAAGTGAAAGGTGGGAAACGGGGTGAGGGGGTGATCATAGCTGAGCTGAACGGAGGATTGTGCCCAGTGCTTCCCTGAAATGTTAGTTATGACTAGTTCCATCTAACAAGGATCTGCCAAGACCCACTATAGCCAGGTTGTTACAGACTTCTCTGAGACCGATCAAAGAAGATGGCAAAAATCCTCTCCTCTACTGCTGCAGTTCTAGTGACAGAACACAGACTATAAGTCATAAACATTTTAAAATGGTAACTACATAGGTTGAATGAAAGAGAGTAAGAGCTGAACTTTTTTCAGAGACCCAGTTACAAGTTTACGTGCTGTGACTAGAAAAGGCCTGTGTTTTCAAAGGCAAGATTTCTCCTTAAACTTGAAGGTGATGAAAGAATAAGCCACATGGTTTTGTTTTGGAAGAATATTCTAGGAAGAAGGAATAGCTGGTACCAAGGCCCTGAGGTAAGAGTGCTCTGACTCATGTGAGGCTGAGCTCTGTGCCCAGTTTGACTGCAGCTGGGGGGTCTTGGGGATTAGGGAAAGGAGGGGTCAAATAGGCTTGTGAGTTTATTCTGACAGTCTGGATAAGACTGTGGACAGAAAAGGTCAGGATCTGAGCCACCTGTTCAGAGGATCCCTCAGCAAGCATCCATGGCTGGTGGTCCTATGTCTAACTGCCCCCTCTTCCTCCTCCTGGAACTCAACCCGTAGCTGCAGGGGAGTTCCATAAGGGCTTTGGCAGGCCAGGCTCCTCAGCTGTCCCTATCTGGCCATTCTACCCAGTGGGGAGTAAGGCAGGTAACTAAAGCCTCACAGCAGGAGCAGCAGGTGAGCTGAGAAGAGGTAGTTGGGGCTCTAAAGCGGCTAGACCCTAGGGAAAGTTAACCTTCATAACCCTCCTTGTGAATGAAAGGGCCCAAATTCCCCTTGTGATGTGACTAAGGAGGATTCAGAATGTCGTCTTTGCTGTTTATTTGGTGTGTTTCTGGTTTCTTTGGGGGAAGTGCCCCACCTGGTGGTTGCCTGTAGGTCTGAGAGCCACAGGTCCTTTATCTCTGCCAGGCTTCCCTGCAGTAGATAGCCTTCACCTTTTCACCCCCCTCTGCTCCTGCTCCATGAAAGCAGGGATGAGGGGAGCCACTGCTGGCCTGTGCTCAAGACCCCTTCCAAAGCCTAGTGGAATGGGGTTGCTGGATGTACAGGATGATCTATTTCCCATGTGCTTGCCCTGATACCAAATCTACTGGATATGCCTCAGGCAGGCCAAAGCTTATATGGGAATAAATCTGAGCTTCCAGGCTTAGCATCACCCTTCAGATTACCCTGTGTTCTGGAGGCTGACAAGGATAGCCAGTCCAGTGGGAAGAAGATGTTCTTCAGTTCCACCAGGCTTCTTCCAGATGCTTACACACACACACACGCACACGCACACGCACAGAGAGAGAGAGAGAGAGAGAGAGAGAGAGAGAGAGAGAGAGAGAATAGCGCGACCATCCAGAAGACTGGAGCTACCTAGGTTACCTGGGATCCTCCTGAGGACAGAGTTCGCTATGTCTCTGCAAGAGCTGAAATCATGACTGACTTTCAGTGAGTAGGTCTCAAGGACAGACACTGCTGTATATCCTCCTGTGTGACAGTCACTTCTAATGAGCCTATCCTTCCACAGGTAAAATCCTGTCCATGGGCCTGGCTCTAGGGTGACATAACAGCAGTGTACCTCCTCAAATGTGGGAAGGAATAAGCTGCCACTTGCTTCTGACTTTTCTGAAATGAATAGTGTCATTGCAGTACCGTTATGGTAGCAAATTTATGTTGTTTTTGTTTGGTGTGTGTGTGTGTGTGTGACAGAACGCACCATGATGCACACAAGATCAGAGGACAAATTTGGGAAGTCAGTTTCACCTACCATCTTGCTGAAGGTGAATCTTTCTTGTTTGTGCCAAGCTGCATAATCCAGGCTAGGCTGGCCCCCATGCTAGCAGACAGTTCTCCTGTCTCTATCTCCCATTTTACCTTGTGAATGCTGACCTTACAGCTTCAAACCATCATTTGTTTTGTTTGTTTAAAATATGGGTTCCAGGAATTAAATCCAGGTTGTCAGGCTTGCATGGCTAACAGTTTTACCTGTTGAGGCATCTCCCTGGATAATGCTGTTTATAAAAACAATAATTTTAATCCAAAACACTTGTAAATTTGGGTCATCTTCTCCACAACCCTTTAGTGTTGCAGAGTTCCCATAATGAAATGCACATGTGGCCTGTGGGCATCTTCTTTCCTTTTTTGTCTGTACATGTGTATATTTTCATGTGCGTGTCTATAAACCGAGGCTGGATGTCAATTTGGGGAAGTCTTACTGTATCAATTGCTGTCTACCTCAGGTCCTCCTGCTTACTAAGTAAGCACTGTATCATCTGAACCGTCTCCCCAATCTCCTTTCCCTCCTTTTTTTTTTTAACGAGTCAGGAGTCATTTAACGTAAAGGATACCATTTGTAGGGCTGAAAAGATGGCTCTGAAGTTAAGTGCACTTGTTGCACTTTCAGAGGACCTGAATTCCAGTCCCAGCACCACATGGCAGCTCACAACCATCTATAACTGCAATTCCAGGGGATTCAATAACCACTTCTGGACTCTGTGGGGGCTCTGGACTCTGATATACAGACATGCATACAGGCAAAACACCCATAGACATAAAATTATAAAATGCTTTTTTAATTAAAAGCACTATTTTAAAAGAAACAATTCAGTGACGTTCGGTGCTTTCACTGTGCTGCCCAGCCCTACCTATATCTAGTTCTGGAGCTTTTTCATTGAACTTTTTCATTTCAGTGAGGAAAACCCTGAATCCACTAAGTCATTCTTTATATCTGGTTTCTCAGCCCAGCTTTCTGGCTATGAATGTGCCTGTTTTGGACTCATTGTATTTTATAAAGATTAGGAGGATGGTGGTTCACTACTCATTGGCATTGTCACAAATTAAAGGCAGCAAGAATTCTCTTTTTGACACCCCTGAAGGAGAGAAAACAGCCATGTGGGACCACAGGGAGATGCATTTAGGACAGGGAAACTGTTAGGATATCTTGTACACAACAGGAATTGGGCCAGTTCCCTGTGGGTTAACTGGTAGGAGCCCCCTAGTTTTGTGGGAGCTAGTCCAATTGAGAACCTGATAGGAAGCAGATGGGTTGGGTATTTAGTGACCCAAGAGACTGGGACCTTAATATAAGACAATAGGAATGGAGGTTTAGCAAACTGTCTATAAAAGACAAAGATTTCAGCCACAACTAAAAACTAGGTCAAGGCAGCTCTTGTGAAATGCCATGTTACATCATATAAATGGAATTATACAATATGTGGTCATTTGTGTACAATTCTGACATTTTTAACTTAGCAAAATATCTGCAGGGTTCATCTATGTTGTAGAATACATCAGAATTTCCTTCCTTTTACAACCAAATAATACTCCATTGTTTTTGTATACCACATTTTGTTTATCCATTTGTGTGTTGATGGGTATGTAGGCAGTTTCTGCCTTTTGTCTAGTATGACTGCTATGAATGTGGGTGTATAGGTTTTTATGTAAACACCTGTTTTTAAAATCATTTTGAGTACACCCTCAGGATTGGAATTGCATGCTCAGGTGGTAACTGTGTTTAACTACTGAGTATCCATTGAAATGGATTTGTTTTGCTGGTGTTGGAGGAGAGTAAGAATTGTGTGTATGTATGTTTTGATATTGGAGGACATGCCAGTGCACATGTATGTGTGTAGCTATATATGGAGGCCAGGAGTAGACAGTAAGTGTCCTCTTTCACCACTCTCCACCTTATATATTGAGAGACCTTATATATGGGTCTCTTATACATGCAGGGCTGGCCAACTGGATTAGTGTAGTTACTTACACTTAGTGTAGCTACTTAGCTTGCTCCAAGGATCCTCTATCTCTGTTTCCTGTGTACTGGGATTACAAATGAGCCACCACATCCAGTTGGCATTCACTTGACACTTGAACTGTCTCCCTGTTGAGCCATCTCCCCAGCCACAAATGGGGTTTGTGTGTGTTCCTGTGTGTGCAGACACATGTGCGCATGTCCGTGTAAAGGGCAGAAGTACCTCAGATGCATTCCTTTGGAGCCATTCACTTTGTTTTTTGAAATATTTCTCCGTTAGCTGGGAGCTCGCCTAGTTGGCTAGGCTGACTGACCAGTGAGCCCCAGGAGTCTCCTGTCCACAGTTCCCCAGCACTGGGATTATAAAAGTATACCATCAGCTCAGATTTTCTACTTTTAGAGGTTTAATTATTTTACATGTGTGAATGTTCTGTGTGCATGTGCATACTATGTGAATGCCTGGTACCTTCAGAGGTCAGAAGTTGGCACCACATTTCCTGGAACTGGAAGTACAGATGGTTGTGAGACAACATGTAGGTGATGGACCAATCAACCTTGGGTCCCATAGAAGAGCAAAGGTCTCTTACCTATTGAACCATCCCTCCAGTCCCAGGCCTAGCTTCTTTGCATAGGTTTTGGATATGAAACTCAAATTCTCATGCTTGGAAGACAAGTATATTATTAATGAACCATTTCCTGGCCCTATTCAAATGGTTTCTACAGTTCTTTTTTTCTTTTGAACATTGTTATTCAGCTTCATATTACAGTAAGAAAAAGCTTGATACAGTCAGCTTTAGGGATGCTTTCATCCCTAAAGGGTCGCTTTGGCTTACAGGTTTGGAGCTTTCATCTTGCTAATCTATGCCATGGCTTTGGACCTGTGGCAGAGCACATCAATGTGGTAGAGCAAAACCACTCTCAGTATCACAAAGAAGAAAAAAGAAGAGACCAGAACTCCACTATCCATTTTGACAGCATTCTGACAATGACATAAAGACGTCCCAGTAAGCTGCATTTCCTAAAGGTTCCATTGCCACTTGTGCTGGTTCATTTTCATTGTCAAGTGGACTAGATTTGGAATTACCTAACAGACTTCTGGGCATGTCTATGGGGATATTTCCACAGAGACTTAACCAAGGAGTGAGAGCTCACCCTAAATATAGGTGGTACTGTCCCATGAGCTAGAGTTCTGAACTGAATACAAAGGGAGAAAAGAGGAGCTAGAAAGATGGCTCAGCACTTAGGAGTACTTCCTCTTTATCCAGAGGACCCAAGTCCACTTCCCAGAACCCATATCTAGTAGTTCACAACAGCCTGTAATGCCAGCACCAGGGGGGTCATCTCTAGGCAATTGTACTCAGGTACACATTCTGCCACATAAACACACATACACACATTTAAATTTAAAAGCATTTTTACAGGAAAAAAGATAAACTGAACTCAGAACTACAATTCTGTTTTCTGGGTGGGGACACAAATAATCAGCTACCTTAGGCACTTGCTACCATGCCTTTCCCTCTGTGATGGACAATATACCATCAAATTGTGGGTGAAAATAACCTCTTAGGTTGTGTTCATCAGCTATTTTGTCACAGCAAAGAAAAACGCAACTCATGCCCCTCCCAATATCACTTCCCTGAGGATAGAGATGATAATAATGATAATACTTGGGCCTTTCTATATCTTCCATACAAAAACTATAGAAAACATGGTCAAGTGTACTGGCAGACAGAAAGAGAATGGTGAAGCTCAGGTTTAGCAGTGGTCACCATCTTGCCTTATTTACTTTATTGTTGTTGTTTGTTCATGGACTATCTTAAACTGAGCAGTATATCATTTTTCTCAACTGTTTCAATATGAACCTTTTTTAAAAGAATATTTTCTTCTGTGTCTCAGTGCTGCTATCCACCCAACATGTGAACACTGGTGATTACTCCTGCCCCATCCTCTGGTAGGCACCTCACAGTCTCCATCATCTCCAGTGACTTTGATGATTCTGTTCTTCATACCAACATCTTAGGACTAAGTCTCTTATCACCCACAGAAAAGTATTCCATACATGATACTAGTTTGCAGATACCTGTAGCTGGAGTTGTAGGTGGATTGAGATACCTGATGTGGGTGCCAGGAACTGAACTCAGATCCTCTGGAAGAGCATCAAATCCTCTGAACCAGTGAGCCATCTCTCCAGTCCCTTAAATGATCTTTGGTGTGATTTACAGAAATTTCATCAGAAACACAAACTTATAATTAGTCATTGTTAACTTATGGGTCCCGAGGGCAACTTAAAAGCTGTGTAAATATGTGGCTGTCCTTGTCCTCCCCGTACTCTATCCCCTCTTCATCTCTCCTGTGACCTTATCATTGGGAAAAAAAACTGTAGTCACCCATCAGACCATAATGAAAACTCTTTTGTCCCATTGGCCCTCTGGACTTCTTTCTGCTTTCTCTGTTGCTCCACTCAGGACTTTCATGTTGTCAGTTTCATGTCTGATAATAGCATTCTTGAAGTAAATGGTCATTTGCCTAACTAGTTTCTACATAAGTTACCTTTGTCTACTCTGTCAACCCTAAAGTCCTTGGCATGAGAACCAACTCCCTGCAGTCTCACTGCTTGTGTCTGTTGTCTCAATTCTTGGCAACACGAACACCAATGAGGCAGAGGCCATATGTCCTGGGCCTTTTATTGCCTATGTGCCCTTGCAACCACATTGCCACTCACAGCCTGACACTCACCTCTTTGCAGAGCCCATACACATGTCTAGTAGATCCCACTTCTGTGCCTCACAATGGCCTACTCTTTTCTTTCTACTCACTAACAACTCTCACTCTGAACCTGGAGGTTGTATGTGTGTGCTTGGAGTGTTTTTTTTTTTTTTAACATGGACCAAACACTAAAGGAAGAGGAACCATAAACACAGCATCCAGGAATGTCTGGAAAGTTGAAGGGATAGGATTATGGGCAGAAGAAAGAGATTTAAGAAAAGAAAAAAGTTGAGAGAGGGTAGGGAGATGGCTTAGTGGTTTAGAACACTGGCTGCTCTTTCAGATGATCGGGGATTGATTCCCAGCACCCACATGGTGGCTAACAACCATCTATAATTCCAGTCCCAGGTGACCTGACACCCTCTTCTGGCTTCCTCAGGCACAGGACATACACATCGTACTTAGACATACATGCAGTCAAAATAAAATAAAAAATAATTTTTAAAAAGAAGGTAATGACAAAGAGAAAGCATAGGCAGGCTCTTTTGGAAGGCTGGTCAGTGGTCCCAGGCATGTGTGCAAAACTAGTGATCCCTGAATCTTGGCCCACTGAATGGGAGCTAGAAAACCTGGAAACTAAGTTTGGGAATGTGTTGAGGGCTGAATTGCATTGTGTCTCTAAAAATGATAGCTTGATGTCCCATCCCCAACTGCCTGGGAAGAGACCTTTACTTAGAAGTAGGTTTTTGTGGATGTAAGTAAGGTTAAAGTGAGGATATATCTCCAAGTAGTGTCATGTAAGACAAAGGGAAATTTGGATCCAAGAGCACATGGAGAAAACAGCCATGTGAAGATTCAGGCAAAGATTGGAAGGATGCAGCTCCAAGTTAAGGATCACTGGATACCACCTGATGGCTGATGGAGGCAAAAAGAAGCAGCCTTCAGAAGGGAGGAAGGATAAACCAGACCTCAGGCTTCCAGCCTGCACAACTGGGAGAAAATATGCATGTGTGTTTTTAAGACCCCTCTAGCATGTGGTACTTTGTTCCAGTGACCCCATCAAGCTGTAAGAAAGGTATGATCAGCGGCCTAGGGTGAAGCATTCAGAGTGAGAGAGACCATTGCTTCTTTCTGCAAGGAGGTTGCAGGTACTGAGCCTGTGGGCTCCTGGAGACGAAATACACCCTTTCTTTGCAACCTATCTCACTCTCACACACACATACCACAGTCTTGCCTTGCTAATATTTGACAGGAAAAATAAATCGGGTTTTGAAGCAAGCCGAGGTTGGCTTTTGGGCAGCCACAGACTGCACCAGGACAATCTGATTTCACTGTGCTTCTTTACATTTCTCTCAGCCTTTCAGCTGTGCTGCGGTTGGAGTCCTGACTATGGCTGCCATTCTTCTGAGGGCAAAGCCCAAGGTAAATTAGTTAGCCTCTTCTTCACTGTCCCAGAATTTTCCCTGAGCAGTTTCCATCTGCTGCTATGCATGGATCCTGGACCTTTCAGGCCAAGAGAAAGCTTTGCTGCCCCTAACCCCTGCAGAATGCTGCTCTTCAGAGTTCCCTTTGCTAGGGTTTCCATGTCTGTCTGTTCCTCTTTCCTGGGATAGGATTCTTGCTGCCAAGTCTCTCCTTACTGTTGAACTCTCTTGGGACAATGAGATCCCATGTTTCATTGTTTGCACCTAAGCTTAACCTGGAATTTAATTCCCTAACACATAAATGGCTTATTTTAGGTGTCAGTATCTTTTGAGGATGTGTCTGTGTACTTTACAAAGACAGAATGGAAGCTTCTGGATCTCAAACAGAGGAACCTCTACAAACAGGTGATGCTGGAGAACTACAGCCATTTGGTGTCAGTGGGTAAGTTACCCTAGCATATACTCATACTCAGTCCTACCTGCTTTGTCTCTGGACTCCAGTTCTGAATTTTCTTGCTTGTTGATTACTATGAATCCAAGAATACTTACATTTCTTTATCTGACCCATACATACCTTGCAGCTATGCTATCAAAAAGGTGTTCTTCTAAAGAGTTTGGGGTTTTGAATGCTCAGCATAAAATCAGTTAACAACCTGTCAGAATCATTTTGCATTTAAAATCATAGATTGCCAAAATATTTTTTATTGAAAAATAGACATCAATTACACTGGAATATTTACTTGCAGTGTTTTAGACTCATTTTTACAGATGTATTTGACATTCAACCTGCTTCATAAAAGTTAACAACGTCTTCCATCTACACTGGCCCTGAGGCCCCATACTAGGACTAGTCAGTGCACTTGGTTCTAAGCCTGGAGAAATGTAGGCAGAAGCTGGGGCAAGTTCCTGCCAGCTATTCTTTCCTTACTTCAACACTGTCCATTCTCTTATCTTTGTGCATGTACAAGAGGATGTCCATCTTGCCAATTCCAGACAAAACCACCATTCTCAAGCTTTATGGATGTACTCAAAAGCACTAAGAAGTGAGTGACAGGAGTAATCTGTCCCAACTTCTTCTTCTAGTGAACATTATCTACGCTGGGGCCTTACTTTTTGCTGCCATCTTCCTAGCTTAGATGGCTCTGTGACCACGCCTATCATCTGACTCCTTGGAGAGGAACTGGTTCTTTCCCTGGGTCCTCTCTGACCATCAAGAGAAAGCTGTGGACATATCTTCCCAGAAGACATCAGGAATTCTCACTTGAGTTTAGTAGAGAAACGTGCTGCTTCCAAGCACATAACTAGGGTATACTTTCTGGTGAATTCTTTGCTGACTGAAGACAGAGGCTGAGCTCTGTTTAAGTATTATTCTGTCCTTAGCTAGACAGGTGATGATTATCTTCATTTCTATCAACAGGATTTGCTATCTCCAAGCCTAACCTGGTATCCCAGCTGGAACGAGGGGAGAAGCCCTGGATTACAGAGGGCAGAATGGGGACTGCAGCAGGATCCTGTACTGGTAAGCAAGACCCCCTCAGCCAGATGGCTAGTGTCGAGGGTAAAAAGTAAGCGCTGGCCTGAGGAAAGTGATGTGAACTGAAACTTAGAGTAAGAAGTCCTCTTTAGTGAAGTCAGTCTCCCCAGTGTTCCACTCCCTTCCTTGCTGGAACTGGATGAAAAGAGACCATCTGCACTGTGTTTCCCACTAGCTCCACCCCACTTTCCAGAATATCCTCTTTCTGTAGTCCCTTCTGCCTGTCTGATAGTGTTTTAACCTCTCCCACTCCCCAGTTCCTTGATGGGGAGATGAAAAGGAGGAAAATGCTCCAAAGGAGCCCCAGGGAAGTGACACTGTTTGTGACTGTGTCATTACAGGCATTACAGGGAATGGGATAAAGAGCAAGACTTCGACTTCCAAGCCAAAACTTTTTGGAAGAGGTCTCCTTGGAGACACCTCAGGATCCTCATTGCAAAGGCGTCCTCACGACTTCAGGCCAAATCCAATGCTAAGGTATCAGCACTCCAGAATCGCTGAGAAGCGGTATCTGTGTCAGCAGTGTGGAAAATCCTTCAGCCGCAGCTTCAATCTCATCAAGCACCGGATTGTCCACAGCCATGAAAAACCTTATGAGTGCAGCGAGTGCGGGAAGCTGTTCCGGCGTAACTGGGCACTGCTGGAGCATCAGCGTATCCACAGCGGCGACAAGCCCTATGAATGTGGAGAGTGTGGCAAGACCTTCACGCGCAGCTCCAACCTCGTCAAGCACCAGATCATCCACAGCAGCGAAATGCCATTCGTGTGCCACTTGTGCGGGAAGGTGTTCCGGCGCAACTTTGCCCTGCTTGAGCATGCACGCATTCACAGTGGTGAGCGGCCTTACGAGTGTGGGGAGTGTGGCAAGTCGTTCAGCCGAAGCTCCAACCTCATCGAGCATCAGCGCATCCACAGCAGCCGGAAGCCCTATGTCTGCCAGGAGTGTGGCAAGGCCCACAAGGCTATCTCGCAGCTCATCCACCACCGGCGCAGCCACCGCAACGACAAGCCCTTTGCCTGCCGTGAGTGCGGCAAGGCTTTCCGCGGCCACTCGGGGCTCAGCCAACACCAGCGGGTGCACAGTGGTGAGAAGCCCTACAAGTGCAGCGAATGCGGCCGGGCCTTTGGTCGCCGGGCCAACCTCTTCAAGCACCAGGTGGTTCATGGCGGGGTGCAGCTTGGCGGTCGAGGCAAGGAGCTCAGGCGTGGATGCATGCATCTGGAGCATCGGTGGGCGTCCCGAGGGCCGCAGCCCCAGGAGGCAGGGGAAGGCAGCTCGGCTGACCCCCAACCTGTCGACACCAATGAGAAGCCCCAAGTGTGTGAGCGCTGCAGCCAGGTGTTTGAGAACAAGTTGCTGCTGTGTCGCCACTTGCGCATCCACGATGATGAAGACGACAAGAAACAGAAGCCTTTTACAGGGAGCATGTCAGCTTTGGAGGAGAAGTCACTGTTGAGCCAACATCTAGAAGCCCAGCCCGAAGAGGGAAGCGACAGTGAAAACAGTGAGGTTTTCCTGTATGATGAAAAGGCCCAGGGTCCATCTTCACCTTGAGGCCTAAATACGGCAGCAACTCAGAATGGCAGGGTGGCCCCTTCCCCCACTGTGAAACAGAAAAGCTATTCAGAATGACAGCGAGCACACACATAGCCCCCACCCAGTATAGTCTGCCCTACTCCTTTCCCTGACGGGTAGAAAAGGAAAGTTCCCTCCCTAGTCCTTAATGATAAAATTGATGCCTAGAGATTGCACAGGAAGATGGCTCCTCGAGGAGCCTAGACAGGGTACTTCTGTGTGTGCTTGGATGTGTGAGTGCCTGTGTGAGTGGGGTCTCCACGTGAGCAGATTTGTATAATACAGAGTTGGTCTTTCCTATCTACATGAGAATTGCCTGATGTGGTTAGGAGGGAAGCAACAGTGTCCACCAACTCTAAGTACAGTTACCTTGAAGTTTACAGAGAGATGACCCATGTCCTTTCCCTTGTTTAATGTGAGGTGGTTTTCCTCCTCTTAAGAGGTTTTTTGTGTTTCCAGGTAGAATATACTGAACGCACTTTATTACATTAAAAGTTTATAAATTGAGGGGGTTCTAAAATTAACCTGCAGTCCTGGAGCGCTAGCTGGACCCTATGTGAAAACTTAGACTCTATGTATGTGATCCCTGCTGCTGCTTGGAGGGTCTGTACCAAACTTGCAGAGAAGTTAAGGCCCAGAGATCCTGTGGGTCTCCTTTTTTTGGGGGGGAAGGGAGCCCCTTTCCTCTGGTCCCCACAAAAGAAGGGTCTAGGTAATACATGACAGCATTTACAACCCCAACATCCTGCTAGCTTCAGTCTCCTCCCTTCCCACTCAGTGAAGGCCATACTGGTCTCTTTGTGTTGCTCTTACCTGCTGCCCCAGTGCCTAAAGTTTGTCTGTTAATCTCTTTCAGGCAACCCGTTGTGTAGTGATGACAGGTTTTGAATTTGCACTTAGATGGCACCTGAAAGGAATGTGGCCAGACAGTTCTTTCAGACAGAGGACATTTCTTAGAATATTAAGGTTGCCATTATTTTAATATTCTTTTGTTTGAGGGTAACAGTTGAAAATGGAGATTGCTGTTGTTGTTGTTGTTGTTGTTATTGTTGTTGTTGTTACCTTTATAAAAATTCCTCAGACAGATGGTGTGGCTCAGAGGTGGAGTATATGCCCAACAGACCGAAGACCATGTGTTCCAGCCTGCCCCCTGCCTCCTGCCCCCTGCCCCCAGAAAAGTTCAGACACGAGAAAGGGGCCTTCCCAGCCCGTGACTGATTAGTGGGGTGGCAAACCTGGCCCTCCAAGTGATGATATTACATTCTTGTCTTCCCTTAAGTCTGGATGACTTGCCAAATGGCACTTTATTGAGAACTAAGGAGGTGTTTTACAGGGAAACCTGTGGCAGTTCTTTTCCACCTGTGCTGTCTCCAGAAGCCTGGGAAATCTGTCCCTTCGTATACTCAGCTCAGCATCCTGGTCAGCAAGCTACTTTCCAGCCCTTTCCTATCCAAGGGCCAAGAAAGATTTTGTCACAAATGCTGCCTGAGGGCAGGTTAGTGATAGAGATAGAGATTGCTGAGGTACCCTCCCTGCCAGGTGAGTGAGGTTCACAGATAATTACCTCCTGACAAGAGAGTATGGGAAGACCTGGAAACCATGGATGCTTATTAAGATCCTGGTCACAGAATAACTTCACACACACACACACACACACACACACACACACACACACATGCACACACACACATGGACATACACTTTATGTATATAAAATATTTTTTGTAAAGTTCTAGTTTGTAACTTTTATCTCCATGTCCTCTAGTAGATCCCCATTTTTATGTATTGTGATTGCTTTTTTGTGAGCTTGCAGCCATGTGTCCTGCTCAGCCTTGTGTCTGTACTCCAAGCCCATTGCTGGGCACTAGTGAAAGAGCCTTGCTCTCCTGGTGGGCTGGACAAAAAAAAAAAAAAAAAAAAAAAGACAGCTACTTGGAAACTGCTCACTCATGTGGAAAAGGGCTGTTCCCAAGATTAAAGTAAACCAACAAGTAATGGGTTCAAGGTCAAAAGCAAGAGTCAAGTCTGAGTAGAAAGCCTAGAGTGATGCTAGGATTATTGAGCAGCGGTTGTTTCCCATATAGGAGGGCCTGCCCTAGTTCACAGGATGCAGGCTTTTTACCGGGCCACAGTGTAGGGAAGGGCAGCAGTGTAGAACTACATAGTGGTTGGCTTCAGTGGCTCCTGGAGGCAGTCAAAAGTATCAGCCATTTTGGTTTCCCAGTAGAAAGGAAATACTAAGACCAGGATCTTTTAAGTTCCTGGTGATGTAATTGTTCAGTCTCTGCTAGGGATGGCACAGATACAGGAAACTCGGCCTAAGCCTCTTGCAGAGCAGGTGCCTACAGTGAGAGGCCTTGTGCAGGCTCTGTCACGTGCTCTTGGGTGTTTATTTCCATGGCTCTAGGAAGTGAATGCATGATACCTCTCCTCCAAGCCAGCCACCAGCTTCTATACCCAAGGATAAGTCCCAAGAGGAAGGATCATCTGTAGTCATTTTCAGCAGAAAGTGGGGTCTACAGGTAGAGATGTAGAGCACTCCAGAGTGGAGTGCCCTGAAATGCTCCACAGTCCCCAGTGGCTGCCTACATCTATAGCAACACATCTCTTTATTAGTTTTCTACTTTAGTTCCTGTTCCTAGATGTTTTCAGCAAGGCAGATAGGAGTAGCGAGTTCTCTCAGGTATGGTAATCAGGTATGTAAAATGAACAGAACAAGTTCTCCAGGAATAAAGTCAGAGTAACCAAAGGAACACTTATGCTTTCCCTTATTTTGTGCCTGAAAATTATGCTCCATCCCTTGTGCTGGATGGGGAATGGGGCTGATCATTCATTTGTGTGTATTGAGAGGCAACTAGATTGTAAAAGCTTAAACTATCAAAACTGCTGTTTTCCTGTCCTACTTCCATATACTTTACTTTTGGACCATTTGCCTTGTAAGACTTTGGGTGCTTTTTCAGGTGCTGTGTGAATGTCCTGGCAAGTGTCTCCAGGAAACTGATAGATGGACTTCTCTGAATTTATCATGAGGTAGAATTTTTTCAACATTTTTGTTGGTTAAAAAGAAAAGACAGTCACTTGGAAACGCCCCCCTCCCAAGTAGAGAGGGGCTGTTCCCAGGATTAAAGTAAACAGACAGGTAGTGAATTCAAGGTCACAAGCAAGAATCAATTCTGAGCTAGAAAGAGCTTAGAGTGATGCTAGAATTATTAGGGAGGGGTTGTTTCTCATGTGGGAGGGCCTGCCATGGTCTACTCAGTACAGGCTTCTCACAGGGCCCCATACTGCAACTCTGAGACCAGGCCTGCCTAACAGGTTCCTAAACAGAAAGCTTATTACTCTCCTAATAGGCACACTATGCCTGTCTTTCTGTTTCTGTGTTTGTTTGTTGGTTTTTTTTTTTTGTTGTTGTTGTTGTTGTTTCTGCTACCAAGTTTCAGACAGCATGGAATCACCCACCCTCACAGCTTTCCAAACAGGAAGTAGAATATAGGGACTTTAGGTGTTTGTGTGTGGAGTTGCTGAAAAGTGCTTTGGTAGAGAGTGGAGAGGATGTAGCGTATTAGGGAAGCCCAGATTGCACACAGGTTTCTTGAAGGCAGTTCTGCATCAGTAACTCAGTCTAGAGTCTGAAGTACCTAGGATGCCATGTGTAGAAATTCAGACCCTAGCTGGTTCCAGATGAGAAACAATTTTCCTAAACATGAAGTGAAGAAAAATTAGTATAAAGGAGAACTGCTATGGGGTGTGAGTTAACACCTCACCAGCCACTATGGTCAAAGAGATGGCCACCGTGAAGAGGTACTGTAAAAGAAGGAGTTGGGGGATTCCACCCACTTTCCTAGGAGTCCCCAATTGCCTTGCCATTTTTAGCTGGCTTCATATTTTGTGAGTCCCAATTCATCTGTGATTCCACAAAACAATGGCTCTCTGAGACTCCTGGACACTTATTTGTGAGGGGAGTTTCTTTGGAGGCTGTTGTTTTAAGCCTGTATAACCCAAGCAGGCCTTTGACTCTTAATTTTCCTGTCTCTACCTCCTACATGCTGGAATTACAGGTTTGAGCCACAATGCCTGCCTTCTGCAGATTCTTATGGTCTTATACTGAAAGTAAAGTCAAGTTCAAGGCCTTGCATGTTTATTGGGAGAACAGTACCTCCTTTGGTGTTCAGCGGAGCTAAGCCTGGTCCCTCTCCACCACCTGGGAATGCTGAGAACAGAAATGAAGGCCTGCTATTCATCTGGAGGCTCCTGATGCATTAATGCCTTTTGGAAGACTGACGGGGGTAGAGTTTATACAGCTTAAAGTGTGCAACTGTGGATGAATTGTGTCTATACCCTTAAAACAATCCCTGATGTCAAGTCAGTGAGCACTCAGCATCTTAGCCAATAACTCCTTTCTGCTCCTCCCTATCCCCTATCCTTACAACTGCTGTTCTATCACTAGTGATTAACTTCTGTATAAATGGATGTCCACAGTATGTGTCTGGCCTCTCAGTGCCAGTTTTTAAATGTTTTCAGGTGTTTGTGTGTATATCCACTTCATATTTATCCCATTGTATACATGGCCTCCAATACTTGTTGATGCCTGTATATTTACATAATATATTTACATTATATTTACATTCTTTCCAGTTTGAGACAAATAAAGCTGCTCTGAGTATTTGTAGGCACATTCCAGTGTAAATGTGTTTTTATTTCCCTTGAGTACATAAGAGTGGAATAGCTGGTTCATATGGTGACGCATTGTTTAACTTGGGAAAGAACTGCCAAACTTTTCCAAGGTAGTTGCATTATTTCTTATCCGCAATACCTGTTGTATTAGCATTCCAGTTTAGTCCACCCTCACCCACACTTGTTTGTTTGTCTGTCTTAGTGTGGCCATGCCAGTGTGTGGTAAGTATTGTGATTTTGATTTGCATTTCCTTCATGACTAAAACATTGAACATCTTTGCATGTACTTGTTGGCCATTCATGTTTCCTTTAAGAATTGTGTTTATCTCTTGCCCATTTTAATTGAATTGTTTGTCTTCTTGTCAAGAATTAGAGTTCTTAACATCAGATTTTCATCAACTATGTTTGAACAAACATTTTCTTTCAAACTATGTATTTTAAATTTTTAGTTTGTATTTTGGGGTCACAATGAAGAACTCTTATTAGAAAAAGTCACTGAGGCATTATCTTATGTTTGCCTATAGAATTTTTTTATGACTTGGATTTTGTTGTTGATAGTTTTGGGGGTTTGTTTTGTTTACTTGGGTTCTGTTTTGCTGTTTAATTTTTCAGCCCTATGTTGCCTGAGCTTGTTTTGAACTCCTGGAGTCAAGTGATTCTCCTGCCTCCAACTCTGGAGTGCCACCAGGCTCAGCTTTGAACTCCTGTTACAGCAGAATATTCTCCCCTCCTTTCTTCACAAAGGCTTTTAAATAAAAGGGTGCTAGGACTGAAAACAGAAAGCCTCGATAGGAGGTGTAATCACTCTGGGAGCAGTATGGTCATGGCAAGTTACCAGCCTGCTCCTGTTTCCTATCAGTGCAGAGTTTTGATAACCACTTTTGAGAGAAATTGAGAAAATTAAAAGATCGTTTCCCTTTAACATCAAACAACCCACACTGCAAACTGTGTAATACTTACTTTCTGGACTTTCCCTCTTAATTTCAAGGTGTTTGGGAGAACCAAACAAAATTGAATGGGCCTAACATCCCTGCTGCCCCAAGAGGTTGCTATGAGAGCATCTCTTTGCCCTCTGTATGCTCAGTGTGAACACAGTAGAGATTTGGATGTGGAAGCTAAGAAAAAAATAGCAGCTCATAGGTCCTAATGCTAGCCAAGTCCACTCACTGTGCAGGGGAGCAAAGTGAAACTTAGAAAGCACCCAGTAGAAGCAAGGCTGAAAGACAAAGACCTCAGAGAGGAAGCCAAAGTCTCATCTGTGAGGGCAGAGTAGCCAGCTGACTGCTCTGTGATACTTCACTCTGGCTTTGTGGCTGATAGACACTAAGTTAAAGCCAGGGAACAATTTTATATACCAACTTGGCCAGGCTATAAAACTCAGGTTTTGGTAAAACAGTGGACTAGATGAGGCTGTGAAAATAATTTTAGGTAAGATTGATACTTAAATTGGTGGACTTTGAGTAAAGCCATCCTTCTCCCTAGTGTAGGTAGGTTTTGTGCAATCATCTAAAGGTTTTAAAAATAGTGATATCAGCCAGAGGAAGGGGTACTGCTCCTGATAGCCCCTGGACTTGAACTATAGCTCTACCCTCAGTTGCTAGTTGACCCAATCACCACTCAGCCTCTATATTATGTCACTCAGCCTCTACATTATGTGAGTCAATGCTTTGAAGTCGCCTGATAGATGAAGAGATAGGTTCTCAGATAGTATTGAGAACCCTGACTAATAGAGCCATAAAGTCATAAGTACAGGCATATAGTCACTAAATATGTAACGGAAAAACTACTTGCATGAAGGAATACTTCAATAAAACATAACTGATGGATATTATCTTGCATTGTCATGTAATTGGGCAGTGTAATAAGCAAGAACAGAATTGTACAGCAATATAATTGGCAAGCTATATTTTAGGACTATGGATGAATGTCAACATTTCTTAAGGAGATACTTTTTAAAGTGAATTCTGAGCAGGCATGTGACACACACCTGTAATCTCTGCATTGGAAAGACTGAGGTAAGAGGATTGCAAGTTTGGAGATGAAGTCTTACTGCAGCTCAAGTTAAGAGAAGACCATGAGGGTGGGCTCTGACCCTGTGTGGTTAAGGAACCGTACAAATGGGATTTCTCGGGTATAGATATGCACACAGGGAGAATGTTGTGTGAGGGCAAAAGCAGAAATGAGAATCCTACATGTACAAACAAGCCACAGAATGGCCAAAATTGCAGAAACTACTGGAAGCCTGGGAAAGGGAGTGATCAGACTTCCTTAAAAAATGCAGAAGGGACCCACTGAACAGGGGAAGCCTTGATCCTGGACTTGTAGCACTGTGGGATACTTTCTTGTGGCACCCATAGAAAATGTAAGGCCTACTCCAAACCCCATTTCAAGGTGATCTGTGTTGTGAGAATTTAGGTTTCTTAAAAAAAAAATATGTGAAGTTTTTATGTTAATTCCAGGTATGGGATATGAGGCTACTTCAGACTGTCCACAACTGCCTACTACGATGTGCCTCCTGCTCTAGGAGAGGCATGGTTTTGCCAGCTGCAGATAGTTTCTGTGAATGTGTGACATTTGGAATTTAGGGAACTTTTCAGGTAATATATATAACTCCTAGGGACCCGAGAAGCAAGGTTGTTATATTGGCTGGTTGCTGTGGTTTGTTAATTGGTTGTATGCAAAGAGACAAAATGAAATTGATCTTTCCTGCTCTAAGGAACTCAATGCTTCTAATTAGCAGGAAGTAGTCTAAAGAGGTCTATTCCCCTTTCCCCTCTAACCTTCTTTCTCACCTATCTAGTGGGGGGGGGGAGCTGGAAAGGATTGGGATGGAGAAGGGTGGTAGATATAAGAACCCAAATAAAGTAGCCAAGAAGCCTGGTACAGATCTGGGTGGATGAGATGGTTCAAGGAGTAAAAGCACTTGCCTGGCTATCAGAGTTTGATACCTGGAACCCATAGTGGAAGGAAAGACTGACTTCCTAAAAGCTGTCCTCTTACTGCAACAGGAGCAATGTGGCATGAGTACATACACACACACACACACACACACACACACACATAATGATAATGGAAAGATTTTTTTAACTCTCCACTACTGAGAAATATTACGTTGGGAAGGAAATGAAAAGTGAAACCATGAACTATCTCTAATACAAAGTGAAGGATCTGTCTAATAGCAAATCTCTGGGATATGGTATGATCCTTGAGGGAAATCATCATTTTTGAGGCCCTAAGTTATTCTATAAGGAACATGGTCTAGGAAGTTAGTCTTCATCTCGGAAAATCAGAAAATAATCTAAAATTAAGCCAGAGATAGTAAATAGATGGAAATAATCAAGGTAAAACTGAATTTAATGAAGCAAAAATATTTTCAAGTGAAGAATAAATCAAAGTTCTAGGTTTGTTATCCTTTGAAAGGGCCAGTGAGGGGTTGTGAAGCCGGCTTAGTGGTAAAAGTGCATTTCACAAACATAAGGATCTGAATTTGTATGCCCAGCACCCGTATGAAAACTGAGCAAGTCAACACACATCTGCAACCCTAGCACTGACTAGGGGCAAATAGAAGAATCCCCAGGCTTCTCTAGCCAGACTGTCTAGCTATTTGGTGAGCTTAGGTTTTAGTGAGAGACCCTGCTTCATAGATAGATAGATAGATAGATAGATAGATAGATAGATAGATAGATA